CTTATCTCACCAGGGACTCTCCAGTTGCCCCACGTGGCCAGAGACAAAGACAGGCTACCTGTGCACCCCTAAGAGCCCCTCTCAATTCAGGTCATTGCAAGATTCCCACCCTACTGTGTACCAGGGACTGTCATATCCTTCTGGTCCCTTTTTCTCCCTTTGGGACTCACCAGATCCCAGCACTTCTCCCTACCAAGGACTCTCCACTTGCCCTACAGTGACCCAGAAGGTAGGCTACCTGCAGCTGCCTGCTGGCCCCTTTCCACTACCATAACCCCCAAGCCCCTCGAGCTCCTTGTCAAGTAGGGTAACCACCTCCACCTGGACCCTTTCCCCCCCTTTGGAACTAACCAAATCCCATTCTAATCCCCAACAGGAACATCTCAAATTGCCAGAAGATCCTGGCCTCTCTTGCTTTTCCAGACTCACCAGAGTCCTTCCAGCTGCCTGACTTAGAACTTCCAGTTCTAACCCATCTGGCCTTGAGAACCAGGATCAGTACACACTGCCAGGGGAAACTGTTCCAAGCTCCTTGATCAAGCCACTGTACACATCATGTTGTGCTGACAAAAGGAAGACCTAGAGTAGAGGCTATAACTGTAAGTACCAAACAGAGGAAATTGATATCCCAGCCCCACTATGAATTAGCCTCCTCCTGATTATTATATAACGATGTTATATTTCATTGTACATTCTCTTGGATGCAGTAATAGCACGAATTTTTAAATGCTAGAATTCTTGTGTTTTAATAGCTGGTGACTCTCTCCTGTATCTTTTTCACTTTCAGTAGTTCTCTAGGTATTATTTTCATTTATAAACCTCAGAATTAAATATCTCAACTGCACTGTAACTCTGGTATCGAAACAGGTTCAGTATCGACTGCTCTTCTCATTAATCACAATCAGAATTCTGGACAACATACAAAAACAATCACCCTAGGACCCTTAGAAGTAAACAAAAAATGGATCACAAAAGAACTGTAAAAGCAAATTGAAGCTATTTAAACTCATTTTATGAAATCAGGATCAAGCTGATCTACATGCATGTATATGAATGGATGGAAATATGTCTAAAGCCTAAGAAACTAGGAAGGCAACCAAGAGAGGGTAAAACTGTGTGCTGTGCTGAGGAAGGGTAGGCAAGAACTAAACGACACCTGTGACATGAAAAGACTGGAAGAGAGATGGAGGGTGTCGAGTGGTAGAGATGCGGGGGGATGAAGGAAGCAGTAAATCTATTGAAACATGAGTTGTTCCATAATGCCATAATAATATATTAAACCTTGTATGCTTGTATGTTAAATAATTTTTAATTAATTAAATGAGGCAAAAACAAATGAAGAAACAATATAACTTACAAAGTCATCCTAAGTCTAACTCATCAGTAGATAAAAGAATTACATGCTAAATCAAATGAGGATTTTTCTAGGTATGCAAATATGCATTGGCACTCAAATTTCAAATAATGTGATATACCATAATAACATAGAGATACATACACACATGCACACACACACTGACATACATATATGCTACCTAATTACCTCAATACAAATAGAAAAACCATCTTGTAAAACGTAAAACCAGAGGCACTTCCGTGAAAACTGAAAGGAAGTTCCTATTAGGAGCAAGAATCAGAGACACCCCAGAGCAGCACAAGAACAAGGTCACCACTTTGGGCTGTTATTTGAGCTGAGAGACTTACATCTATGTAACTATGCAAGTGTCTTGATCTCACGTGCCTTAGTACAGAGGGTAGTATTAACCACTTCATATAACTGTTATGCTCAGGACATATGACAGTTTTTGTAAAGTGCATAGAATAGTGCCTAGCAAATTGTAAATGTGTATCACTTGCTTGAATAAACCTTGAGCAAACATAGTCACAAATAAAACCAATATTTATTCAATATCAATTGAGCCACAAATACTCCTTAAAAATCGCACCAAATAAGGGCAATTCCCTCCACATACTGGAGGAAAAGTTGTGAAACAGGTTATGACAAAAACCTTACTCCCTGGGACTGTGCACTCCTAAGGTCAATGCCTTTCTCAGAGCTAGCTTCACCTCCTTATTTCTCAAGGAATATATCAAAGGATTCAGGGAAGGGGTCACGATATTATTCAACACCTGAACCACAGAATCCAGCCAAGGGCTAGAGGCAGGTCTGAGGTAAATGAGGACCACGGGGCCATAGAAGAGCAGAATTGATGTCAGATGGGCACTGCAGGTGGAGAAGGCTCTGCGCCTGCCTTCAGAAGAATGGATTTTCAGTATGGAGATCACTATGCGAGTGTAAGAAGTGAGGACAAGGAGGAAGCACACTAGTGCAACAAGACCCACATTGATGACGCTCACAGTCTGTGCTAGAGAGGTGTCTGCACAAGCCAGGGGCAGCATCACAGGAATGTCACAGAAAAAACTGTCCACCTTGTTGGGACCACAGTAAGGTAACTTAAAGATGAGGAATGTGAGGACAGATGCATGCAGACAGCTTCCCATCCAGGTGACCATGGTCATGGAGGCACACACCCACGAACTCATGATGACTGTGTATCTCAAAGGGTGACAGATGGCTGCAAAACGGTCATAGGCCATCACAGTGTACAGAAAGCATTCAGCACAGCCCAAAAAATGGTAGAAGAAGAGCTGGGAGGCACAGCCCTGGTAGGAGATGGTGTGACTGTGCCCAGTCATGTAGAGCATCATCTTCGGGGAACTCACTGAAGGGAAAAATATGTCAAGCACTGATAGGTTTCCCAAGAAGAAATACATGGGGGTATGCAGGGTGGAGGAGGTGAGGATGGCCAGAAGGATGAGCAGGTTTCCAGGGAGAGTGAGCATGTAGAAGGCCAGAAAGAGGACAAAGAGTATGCTTTCCAGCCCAGCTGTGTGGGGTATTCCCATCAGGAGAAATTCAGTTATTGCTGTGTGATTCCTCATCCTCACACTTATTTCTCCATTAATGGACCCGCTGAGGTGAGTTTTGACCATGAAAATGAAAACCTCACAGAACCTTCCAAAAACCAGTATTACCTAAGTACTCTAAAGAACTTACAAATGAAGGCAAACACAATTCTGCCACTAAACAATGTGCTAAATTGAATAATTCATTTATTTATTATCAATTTTCCCCTAAAAAATAAACCAATGACCTTGAATTTAACATAAAACAGACACTATAGAATAACCCTCACAATTTTATATATATATATATATATAATGTTTGAGTTCAAATGTCACATCTGCTCCTCATTCTGACTCCAGATAATTGTGCTAAATAAATCTGAATTTATTTTGAATCTCTATGAATAGGACACTAATAGTTTGTGGTTCCTATAAAGCATAACGTTCTAATGTATATAAAGTCCTTACCACAATGCTATCCCTAAGAAGACCTATCTTTAAAAATTAATACAGAGTAATGTTCTAAATAGTGAGACTTTTTTTTTCCACACCATGATTCTTTGGTGACTAAGAGCTATCTGGGATGCCTACTGACATAAGTGATTCTCAAAACATTTTTGTCCAAATGTTGGAACACCTGAAAACTGAAATCTCTCTAATAAACACATAAGAAAATACAAGGCAAAAGATAATAATATAGGGATGGGCAATATATAGTTAGCAATGTTATAAACTGTCTACTTTGATTTAGAATTTGGCCTCTCTGTAGGCCTGATTATGTGCTACCCCCATGAATATTTGCAAGATGTGCCCTTATCATGGAAGCCATAACTAAATACAGTGGCATTGCATCCACTGGATCAGCATTAACCCAAGCTCACGCAGAGCTATCCCCATACCTTTCCTCTTCCTAAAGTACCTATGCCTCAGGAGAAAGGATGCTATAAGAAAAACGCAATCCAGAAAACAAGCACTTACAGACGGAAGGGGAATATGGCAGACTGGGGCTGAAACAATGACCCATGAAGTTTTTCAAGCTGGTTGTTGCATCCTGGGAATATAGACCCAGTGGGGTCTCCAAGTAAAGGTGAAACATCCAGTCTTCCCCTCTGGAGGGAATCAATGTGAAGCTCCTTTGAGGCTCACTTCCCCAGTGGGCCATGACTTAAAGGTGTAGAACAGAGGGATCAATTAGCTAGGAACACCTGTCTCCCCTTTCCTTCCCTCCTTCTCCCCATTACATCTCCCTCAATATTCCTTAAAGCAATATGCACCCATCTAGAATTTTTAAAGAAAGGTATTCATTTTTAAAGCTCTTTGGTTACAGAACAGTTTTCCCCATAGGAGAGCCACCCCATGGGTTCAGATGTTTGTGATTATCTAGTGTCTGGAGGGTCCAAGTTGGAGAAAGATCTGGAGATTAGAAAATTCTTAAAAGAAAAATAGAAAGCTCTCAAAGTAATGGTAAGTCAAAAGAATAGAATAAAATACACAATGCTATGTGTAATTATTTGTTGTGGTTTGAATGAGAAATGTCCCCCATTGTCTCTGGTATTTGAATACTAGGTTTCCAGTTGATGGAGCTATTTGGGAAGGTTATGGAATCTTTAAGATTTATATCCTTACTGGTGGAAGTATATCACTAGTGATGGGTTTTGAAGTTTTAAAGCCTCACCCCAGCAGCAGAGAACACCTCTCAAAGCCCACCTCAGTAACTTGCTTCCTCTTAAAACCTCCCAAAACAGCTTCATCAACTGGGGGCAACATGTTCAAATACTTAGAGCCAATAGGGTAAATAAATGCTCATTCAAATCAGCACAAGCACTGACTGCTCTTCCAAAGGACCTAGGTTCTGTTCCCAGGACACAAATTGAAGGTAACAATTGAAACTCCAATTCCATGGAAACCAACCCCTTCTTCTGGCCTTTGTGAGCATTGTATGACATGGTACACTTACATACATACATGCAGACAAAACATACATGTAATATATATATATACATATATGTGTATATGTGTGTGTATATATATATATATATATAAACATCAAAAAAACAATCCAATTAAAAACGGGCTATGCCCCCCTCCCTGAAAACTAGCTCTCTTAGTATCAGAAGATGCTGTGCAAGCTGCCAGGGGAGAAAACCAATCAGTGATCCTACCCAGCTGTAAAGCTTATGAACCACAGTGACTTGACTGGCTCACCAAATTATCTCTGTTGATGCAGTCATGGCATTTTTATCTTGGGGGTAATCAACAGTTGTCTAATAGTACTTAAGGACCACTCAGTAGGAGGAAATTCATGTGTATTATTATAAATAAAGCCAAGTACACATGTTTGGAGAGATCATAGACCCTAAAGTCAAACTTACTTCTGCCACTTCCCTGGACCAGTGTAATTGCTTATTCTATTCTACATACATATCTTTATATCGACAAACAAGTGTGCCTCTCACCATTCATCAAAAAAACTTCTTTTGGAAATAGATGTGGGCTGTTACAAAGTTCTCAAACTGGTCAAATGCAGAGAATAAGTGACTGTGAGGTGCCCAGCCCTACTTGCCACATCTACAATACAACCTCTATACCTAAGGCCCAGGGAGCACCAAAGAAGAGGGGGCAGAACAAGTGTTTAGGAGCCAGAAGAACAAGACACCTTCTTCTAGTTAATACATTGTAAACATGATCAGGAAGCTGAACCAATGAAGTCTCCACAGTACAGTAGTCTCACAAGATCTGCATTATGACAGAACCAGTTGACATGCCCATGTGGACGGGGAGAATGTCATGGGGTCCCACCTTAAGAGGAACAGCTACAGGCAACCAATGGATACTGAGGGTGAAAGAATCAGTTTTCTCCAGAGATGAGTGAGGTCCCTGAGAAGTTATCTAATCCCAAGTGGGCAGCCCTAAATAAAGGTACACACAAGTACCACTAAATAAATTCAATGCATTATATATTTGCATATGTATAAATGTATGCATATGTAACAATAATAATCAAAGAAGAAGAAAAGAAATTGAGAGGGAGTAGAGGTGGTGTGGGAAGAATTGGAGTGGTACCAAGAAGGATGAAAATAATGCAGAGACAATACTCATGTATGGAATTATCAAAATAAAAATTCAAATATATGTGCCAAAAATCATAATTAGCCACTTAAAATATTAAATGGGCTATAAAACTAAACAGAAAGTTATCAAAATAAAACTACAAATGGATAGCAAACAAAATACAGTGTTCAACATCCTTAGCTATCAGGGAAGTGCCAATTAATGCTATTTTAAAATTTCACCTCACCTCAGAACGGCTGTTATCAGTAATACCAATGACAAAAAATTTGGTGGGAGAGTGGGGAAAGGGGAAGCTTTTACAGTGGTAATGAGACTGAAAACTAATACAGTCACATTGGAAATCAGTGTGCGGTTTTCTCAAAAAACTAGAAACTCATCTACTATATGACCCAACTATACCACTCCTGGGCATATGCCCAAAGAACTTTAGATTATCCTACAGAGACACTTGCACATCCATGTTCATTGCTGCTCTATTCACAAAAGCCAGGGAATGGAATCAACCTAGATGTCCAAAAAGAGATGAATAGATAAGGAAAATGTGGTACATATGCAGAATGAAATACTGTTTTTTTTAAAAAAAAAAGAAAAGAAAAAGAAAGAAATTTGTAAGCAAACGGATGGAACTAGAAAAGATTATGATGAGGTAGGTCACTCAGGCCCAGAAACAAAAATACCGATACCACAAGTTGTCTCTTATATGTGGATCCTAGCTTCAAATATTTTATTTTGTGTGTTTAACCAGAGTGCAGGTGGACATCAAGAAACTAGAAATGGGACATGAGAGGGTATTAAAGGAGAGGTTGACAGTGGTGTACAGGTAAAACGAAAGTAGGTAAGGGAACACTAGGAAATAGGTTCAAACAGGGAATGAGTTGGGAGGATGGGGAGACAAGGGGGCAAGAAAAGGGTTATCCTAATAAAAGTATATGAAAAAAAACTTAATGGAAAACTATGCTCTTGCAACCCAAGCAAATAATATAACACAGGTAGTATAATAGAACACATGCAATATTAATGAGCAGGGAAGGTATTTAACCAATGTTGGAGCTTAAATGGTGAAGTGGAATGAGAGTATGGTGATGGGGGAAATGATGTATGAAGAAGCCTTAGGAAGTCCCACTAATTTGTAAACTAGTTAAAAATGCAATTTTTTAAAAAGGAGTTTGAACAGAAGCACCGCACAAAGGTGAATGAAGTTATTCCCAGAAGATATGAGTAATTAAACAAATATCTCTATACCTCCTGACGAGGTATTGGTATTAGGGAAGCCTCAGAGGCATAAAAAACAACCCATGCTGTTTCTATTGTTTCTGGTTGCCCACCATACATAGCTAGATGGTAAGATGCTATTGATGAAGACATCACACAATTTGGTTGTGAGACACAGAAAAAAAGTCAGTCTTTAACTGACCAGGAAGCTTTCTCCTCACGGCTAGATTTCACAGCGCTGGAAGGTGCCATGTAGGCTGCTGGAGAAAGAAAGACATCAGTGATCTTACCCGGCTGTGGACTTTGCATGCTACAGTACTGAACTACCAGGCAAGACGTGCCAACTGGAGAAATAGCCGCATAACTGTTACATGGAAAACCATTTGCTTTCTTACTGGACTTGAAGCCTGCTCCTCAGGCGTGAATTCTTGCCGATTACTGTAAACCCAATTTTAAAAAAATGGTTGACGTCATAGGCCCTAAGTGGGAACCTATTTTATTATTGTTGTTTTGCTAAATGGACATGTTATTGAACCATCTTTTAAATATTTATCTTTATCCCATAGGTTGGTGTTGCTCTCAACCAGGGTCAGAGGTGCTTATTTTTGTGATGGGCAGAGGCTAATGCAAAGACTCTTAACCGGTCAATGCAAAGAATATGTGACAGTGATTGTTCAGTCATAGATGAGACATCGATATCATCCTCTGCCTCCACCCCAAGGATCAGCTATCATCATGGAAGAGGAGGTGGAAAGAATGTAATAGCCAGAGATTGGGGAAGAATGCTGTAAAAACTGCGATCTGAACATAACATGACAGATAACAGACTGAAACCTGGAAATTTCTTCCCTACTAGATAGTTTTCAAAGCGCTTAAAGGTGCTATGCAGGCTTCTGGGGTAGAAAAGACTTCAAAGGTCTTAACCAGCACTGAATGTGTATGCCATAATGCCAGCCTGCCAGGCAAGATGTGTCCACTGGTACAGTAGTGGCATAACTGTTAGGGTGCAACTACCTGCTTTCTGATTAGATTTGAGCCCTACTCCACAAAAGGGAATTTCATGCCTAGTTCTGTGATTCTGGTCAAAAGCCCATGACTGCAGAGATCACAGTACTGAGAATAAGATTTGTTCTTGTTATTTTGCTACTTTGTTATTTTGGGGAAGTGGGGAAGAAACCCCAACCCTAGCTGAGGAAATATTGGCAATCAATTGCTACTGGGAGAGGAAGAGTCAGTTTTCTTTATAGATGTGACTCTGGGCATGTTAACCAGGCTCCAGTCGATCAACCTACACTGAAGGGCACTTGGTGACACAAATTTGGCCTTTATATGAAATCAAATGAAGTAGTAAGGGAGATATCAATAGGGCAGAGGGTCTAATGAGAATCAAAATATATTGTACAAAATTCATAAAAGTTCAATAAAAAGCTTTATTAAAGAAACTTTACTCTGCAGAATTTTTAAGTCCATTCTCCCATTTTACACAAATAAATTAATGGTTATCTTCTCTCTAGACCCATAAGGAAAGAAGTCCAACAGAAGATGTCATTGAGTGGCAAAGAAAAAATTTCAAAGTAAACATTTTGTAACAGAAAGAAAGACATAGTTAAGGAAGTTCTCAACAGTGTTGGCAGGGAAAACAATTCCAGTAGAGTAGCACTGGCTCAGGGCCCTCAAACTGAATTCCAGTGGCCTTTTTATTGGTGTAAGAGGCATATCTGCAGCTGGACTTCTTACCTGAACCTTCTGTACAAACCAACCTAGGCACATGCCAACCTTGTGAACTGGACTGAACTGCAGCTTATGGAGTGAAATTCATTAGCTGTTGTAACCATGTGTGAAATTATCCAAGTAAGAGCATTAATGGGATCATGCTATACTACAGTATTTCAGATTAATAATTCTACAAATTGCCTCTTTTTAAAGTCATTCTTTGAATTTCACTTTGTCAAGTGTAAACACCACCTTTGTATAATTAAGACACTGAGGCATAGAATCAAATATTTCAGGAAAAGGAACCAGATAGGCACCAGCACCAAAATGTCTTTGTCAATAAACTTCTTTTAGTTACACAACCCCAAAACACCTGAAAATTTATAGATAACCATGGAACTTGCCAAACTTTCTTCAGTTAAGGGTGAAGTAATGTTTAACTTGCTAGATAGAAAATAATGTGCTTAGCTAAAGAATTAAGAGTTGGCTTAGGAGAAGAAAAAAATTTGTTATATAAGAATTTTTCAGTAGAAAGAAAAAAAGCACAGACCTATATAAGATGGCAAAAGCACACCCAGTGTGTGTGTACACATCCTGTCCATAGTCTAATGGTGTTCTTCCTTATAAAGGCACTTTGGCCCATATAAGCTCCCTGAAACAGTCTTTTGGAGAATGTGGCCTGGTCCATCTTTTCAGACCTATGAATGGACCTTATTCCCTTAACACCAAACTTTGCATCCTGAATATTGACTTTTGGGCAGTGTTTTGTCCATACCTGCATCCGCTCTCAATCCCCCATGCTTCCTGAGAGTGCCTTATCACAATTTAGGAAGAGATTAACTTTTATGCTACCATCACAATTTTTAATGAATTTTTCATACAGTGTATTTTGATCATATTCAAACCCCTTCCCCAGTATCTTCTCAGACTACCTCCTGTTCCCCCCTCCCTACTGCCCACTTCCTCTCCTCTCTATTTTTAAGGCCTATTGAGCCCAGTTTGTGTTCCCCAAATCCTCGGGTTTCAGTTCTCCCCTGGACACATGAAGCCCCAAGCCAATCACAATCATTAACAAGCAAATCATTTAATCATCAGCCTTCTTGGAATTTAAGCAATAAGACACCATCTTATAAGACAATGGACAACATTTCTGAGGGTACTAAATGTGCTGTCTTTTATATTCTTCTTGGTTCTCAAACTGGTAGCTTAACTTTTTGTAAAATACTTTTGTTGATTCTTTAAGACTTTCATACAATGTATTTTGATTATGTTCAAGCCACCAAACTCCTCTCAACTCCATAGCTTTTATCTTGTTTGCAGAGTAAAATTATACTTACCAAACTGCAATCCTGCTTTCAAATTTCATACATTATCGACAGTGATTAGCTTAAGTGAGTGGCCAAAGTGATGTTTACTAGAGCACAGGAGCACATAACTTGGAAGAAGGGATGAGAGAGATAGAGGGAAGAAGAGCTAGTCCATGGCATGAGGAAAGTTTTACTTTCATGATCTCTGTCCTAGTTTGTTCTTCATTGCTGTGACAAAACACTCTGACCATTACCAACTTGGGGAGGAAAGGGTTTATTCAGCGTACATCTCCCAGGTTGTAGCTCATCAGGGAGCCCAAGGTAAGAACTCAGGGCAGGAACCTGGAGGCAGGAGCTGGAGCACAGGCCATGGAGGAATGCTGCTTACTGGCTTGCTCCCTTGGCTCCTGCTAAGCCTGCTTTCTTATTTTCTTATGCAACACAGGTCCAGGGGTGGCACCACCCACAGTGGGCTGGGCCCTCCCACATCACTCATCAAGAAGATGCCCTTCAGACATGGCCACAGGCCAGTCCAATAGAGACAATTTCCCGATTAAGGGTCCCTCAACCCAGGTGTGTCAAGTTGACAGTAAAGCTCTCCAGTACAATATCCAATCAAAACATAATTCCATGGGTAACTCTACAGAGCAGAAATGATGCCCTGTTTTGGCAAATTCAAAAGGGAACACTGGATCAATCTGAAAAGTCTTCTTTCAATGTAAAACCCATATATCAGTTCCACTGCCCAGAAATGAGGGAGAATAACTTCAACCACTTCACTAATTTGGCAACAGTTATGATGAAGAGTAAACCCAAAACAATTCCCAAATAATTCTGTGGAATTTTGCTCCTATTGCTTATACCCCAAAGCTGGGGCCACTTGACTTAATACCTTTCTTAGGGCTACTTTCACTTCCTTGTTTCTCAAGGAATAAATCAAAGGATTCAGGGAAGGGGTGACAACATTGTTAAACACCTGAACAACAGAGTCTAACCAGGGACTGGAAGCAGGTCTGAGGTAAACAAGAATCACTGGCCCATAGACCAGGATGATAGATGTGAGGTGGGCACTGCAGGTGGAGAAGGCTCTGCGCCTGCCTTCTGAGGACCGGATTTGCAAGATGGAGATAACAATGCGAGTGTAAGAAATGAGGACCAGGACAAAGCACGTGAGTGCAACAACACCCACGTTGGTAAAACTCACAGTCTGTGCTAGAGAAGTGTCTGCACACGCCAGGGACAGCACCACCGGAATGTCACAAAAGAAACTGTCCACCTCATTGGGGCCACAGTAGGGCAACTTAAAGATAAGAAATGTGAGGATGCTTCCATGGGCAAAGCCCCCCAGCCAAGTGCCCACTGTGAGGGAGGTACACACCCTGTGGTTCATGATGACTGTGTATCTCATAGGGTGACAAATGGCCACAAAGCGGTCATAGGCCATCACTGTGTACAGGAAACACTCGGTGCCACCCAGAGTGTGGTAAAAGAAAATCTGAGAAGCACAGCCCTGGTAAGAGATGGTGCGGCTCTGCCCCACTAGGTAGGCCATCATCTTAGGAGAATTCACAGAAGGGAAAAATAGGTCAAACACTGCCAGGTTTCCCAGGAAGAAATACATGGGAGTGTGGAGGTTGGGGGAAGCCAGAATGGTGAGGAAGATGAGCAGGTTCCCCAGCAAGGCGAAGACATAGAAGACCAGGAACAGGACAAAGATCATGCTCTCGAGCCCTTCAGAGTTAGAAATTCCCAGCAGGATGAACTCTGTCACGAAGGTGTGATTCCTCATGTTCATGGGACAGACAGCTCTGGAAAGGCAAAGCAACACTCATTGATCAGTTCCAGGTAACTGATAACACCTCTGAAACAAAGGGGCTTTGGTCTAAGGAAGTGGTTACAACAGCCAATGAGGGAAATGAGACCAGTAATAAATATGCCTGTGACATTCAGTTAATTACTGTGCCATATTTGGTCTCAATTTCTTTGCATGTTAAGTGGGGGGAAAGAAAATAGTTGGAAAAACCTCTTACAGTAATAAGCTCTTAACTCCAGTCTTCTTTACTTTCTTCCTGTCTGGTTTGTCATCAGACTGGCTCGTGTGAGAACACTCACCATCCTAATGAGAAGTTCATTATCACTGAACCTTACTTTACACAGACGAAGCCATGCATGGAGGTACATGGACAAATTGTCCCAATGTGTGCATATAAATATTTGACAGTGCAAACAAATGAAAACCTTTCCTTTTTATTTTTGCTACCAACAATAAGATTTCTATTCTTCATCACTTACATTTGAGATAACTGCACACAGTTCCTATTTATAAACTGCTATACACATGCAGAAAGCAGACTGAGCTTACAAGTAGACATTGTGTAGGGATAGTAACAGTTTCTGCATATCATGTTCTAGTCTAGCTCCTTGGGTTTTACTTCGACAGTAGGAAACTTACAAATGAAAATTCTAATTTCATTAATACATTTTAACATCATTAAGTAGTATCAGTGCTAGATAATTTTAAGAATTTCTCTGAGTTCTGCATTGCACCTTTCTTAACCCTCTAAATATTGCCAGTAGGACTTAATTTTCCTTGATGTATTTAGTATTTGTTCACAGGAAATAATCTGATAACCCCATTCATGCTGTTTAAGAGACTGCTGATCTGGGTAATTTCACTTTTGACGAAGGTAAAGTCGGCTATGGATCCAGTTCTCAGAAAGTACAATACCAACAAGACTGAAGAGAAAGCAGCTTGTAAACTATCATGGTCCTTAGTGTAGTAGCCAAATCTCTCTGAGGCTAATCCAATTCAACCTGCCTAACTAGATAGATCCCAGAGAGATACAGACAGGAAATAAAAAGACTTCCTTGTAGCACAAAATGTTATTTAGACATTGACTCTGGACTTTGGCAATCAATACAATTTCACACATTCACTTTCTATCTGTTTGCTAGAAATATAAATGTAAGACTCATCTCTTGAGTAGGTGGAGAGATATAAAAATGATCTGTGACCTTTACCTATCTTCACCAATAGGTACTCTGGAGCCCTGAGCAATTTAATCATTGAGCTTCACCTACTCAATGAAAATTGGGTTTTTTTTTTGCCTCATGTTGTTTTTGTAATGAGTGAGAGAAACTTACAGTGTTGTGTGTTTTGCTGGGCACTTACTAGCAACTATAAAGTTAGTTTAAAGTTTTTCCATGTAGTACATAGCAATGAGGTAAGAATGAAAATGTAATAACAAAAACATTACAGGCATGATGAAAACATAATTTCAAATAGATGTTATAGAAATTGTAAGATTTTTTAAATTATTCCTGTTGTCTACTCATTTATTTATTTGTACATATTTATGGAGCCAGAGGAAGATACATTAGTCTAGGAAATGTTATTTTCCTCTTACATAAGTTTATGCTATGTGAATAAACACACTAGTGACTTACCAAGAACAGTGTGGAGACTAGAGGTGCTTAGACGCTCCCTTTACTCACAGCCTTCCTGTGTCTCACTGATAACCAGATTCACAATGCAAAGTAGCACAGGTGTCTGGCCACCGAAACCTGCCTTACCCAAAGCATAAATTTCACGATCTTCCTTACAAGCATTTTCAGAACCATTCTCTGTGGTCCTCTTCAGTAGGAACTCAGTAGCACAGCTTCATGACTCATGCCCTGAGAAAGAATCTGATAGTTGAAAGAGAAAAATCCATTACCTGGTCTCACTTCATCATGGAATCATTTGGGAAACATCAAATTTCTACCACAGTAGATTTCAAATTAGAAACTGCATGATTGCAACTCAAGGAGATAGAAGAGGGAATCATTCTTTGAAAAGAGTAGAAAATAGAACTTACGTTTCAAAGTAAATTCTAAATTTCTACCTCAGCTTTTATGAATATTTGAGCTTCATATTCACTCATATTCACTGATATTCAGATATTGGCTATAGAATGTCATGGAAAAGATGAGAAACAGTAAGAACAGGGATGGTTTCTAATATAAGGATAATTTTCAGTGTCTATGCTCACAGAAGAAGAGGAGTCTGTCTCACTGATGTTGCCCATTTTCCCCTTAAGTCATTCTGACAAACACACAAACACACGATCCACAGCACTTCCATTCTGCCTTGATGCTGTTTAATAGGATCAATCTCAGAAGGACAAAAGACAGAAAAGCAAACAGAAGATTTAACAGAAGCAGTCCGAGTTTTAGACACATACCAACAGCTAGAAAACACATCAGATGTGGGTAGGGGTGTTTCTAAAGCTTCTAGTCAAGAAAGATGTGTTCCTAAAAACAAGAATCTATTTTGCCTAAGATGTCACAATATAGAGCCAAGATTTTCACATTCTCCACTTGATGTCTAAGATGCAGATTCTATACTCAGTCTTGCTATAAATCAGATAAAAAAATAATGAATTTATAATGTTTTCAGCTCAGAGAGTATTAATAGATCTGGTTTCTTTTGAGAAAATATCCCCAAAGGCCCACTCTCCAGACCCAAGACACATGAATAAGCAAAAGGAGTAATTACAGGTTTTCATGTCTTTCCTTACACCCTTTATACTTTCTGATTCCATCCCACATTACTATATAATCTGGCACACTCATTTTGGAAATAATATGACAATATGTAATTTATTTGATAAATATATACAAGACACGGAAAAGGCTGTGCATTTCCACTATCTTATCAGTTTTAATCTTAGTGTCATGATGGAAAGAGAATTCAGCAGTTAAGAGCCCTGACTACTCTCACAGAAGACCTGGGCTCAGTTCTGAGAACCCACAAGGCAATTAACAACCATGATTCCAGTTCCAGATGCCCTCTTCTGGCCTTTGTAGGAACTGAATGTACATAGTGTACTTACATGTAAGCAAGCAAAAACACTCATACACATGAAATAAAACTAAATAAATAATTTAAATATTTTAGTGTAATCTTTATGATTATTCCAGATGATAGATCTTATTTATTTTAATCACAATATATACAGAGTTCTTACCTTTTTTTTTCGGTCTTTTTGAGACAGGGTCTTCCTGTAGCCCCAGCTGTCCTGGAACTCACTATGTAGACCAGGCTGGCCTTGAACTCACAGAGATCCTCCTGCCTCTACCTCTCCAGTGCTGGGATTAAAGGTGTGTACCACCATGCCCTTTTAATCACAAATTCTTCAAAATATTTTCAAAATCAGTTCAATGCTGCAACTTATTTGATTTTAACAATATTAGATCTATACAATGTATGCGTATACTCTACTCAACCATAAGCATTTTATTTTTATTTTTACATGAGTCCATATGTGTGTGTGTGTGTGTGTGTGTGTGTGTGTGTAATTGACCTGATTTAAAGGAGAAAGTCCATTGGAATTTTTTTATTTAGCTGATCTTGGACAAGTGGATCAATACTGAAAAAATAAAGTTGAGTTTAACTTTGCTCTTATAGGACTTTGACTTTTAGGCAATGCTGGAATGCTTAAGATTTGAGGGACACTTGGAAAAGGACTGAATGCATTTTGCATTGTGAAACGGACATGGGTTTGGGAGCCAAGTGTGGAATGCTGTGGCTTGAATCTGAACTGTCTACCGAGGTCAATGTTTTGAGGGCCTGATTGGCAGCTTGCTCCCACTGGGAGGTGTTCGAAACACCAGGAATTAGGATCTAATGATACTAAAGTTAAGTTATTAGTGGCTTGCTCATGAAGGAAACACTGGGGCCCTTTTAATTCTCTCTTCGCCTCCCAGTGGCCATTTTGTGAGCAACATTGCTCTCACCTTAATATTCCCACCCAATAGAGGCCCAAACAGAGTGGAATCAGTCAACCATTGAATGAAGGCTCTAAAACTAAACTTAAATAAGTATTTCCTCTTTTTAAATTGAATTTCTTAGATATTTTATTATAGCAATGGAAAACTAAGGCAGAAAATGACTTAGCCAAGTTTAGCAAAAGGAAAAATTTAAATAATAAATTAAAGAGAATTTGTTCAATCACTTCAAGAATTGATGTAATATGAAATATTAAATTGCAATAATTTTATTAAAGTAAATGTCAAAATTATCAATTATTAGAACTTGTGCACATTGATATAAAAAGCATAAATTTATAGATTCATTTTAAAGTCATCATTTTCAACTTAGTTAGAAAGTATTTTTGTCAGAAAATCCAAATTTTCCTGTAGAAAGTCACACATGAGTACATCATGAGTATAAGAAGGTTGAAGAAATAATTTTTGTTCTACATACACAAGTTGTCAACAGGGAGAGAAAAGGCTGCAGACTGCTTATCTCTCAATATGACATCTATATCAAACTTCTGCCTCCAAGGCTCAGGGGTCATTACAGAAGATGGGGCAGAAAGACTGTAAAAACCAGAAGTGTTGGATGACTATAAAGAATCAGTTTTCCAGACAGCTGATCAGTTACTCGTACAAACTCACAGCAATGGTGACAGCATGCACAAGTCCCTTGTAAGCTCAAGCCAGACAAAACCCCAGCATAAACATGGAGAAGCAGGTAAGAAGTCCCAACTTAACCTTCAGAACCATTAGCCTCAGATACCTGCTGGGAGACAATCAGTTTTCTTTAAGGATGTGGTGCTGGATAAGTTAACCAGGCTCTAGTAGATGGACCCACACCAAAGGTCATTTGGGGGACACAAATTTGACTTAATAGGCCTTAATATATGTATAATAGAGTCCATGACATCAGGCAAGGACTATTAAAGGAGATGCAGACAGAGTAGGGGTCTAAATATGATCAAAATATAATGTATTAAATAAAAAATTCAATAAAAAAGAAAACAA